TCATCTTCAGAAAGAGCCTGAATGCCACGTAATGACTGAAAAGCCAGCTGTAATATATTCAAGAAGACCTAAGGGTTTACTTTCCACTAAGGATGGAAAAAAAATCTGAGTACCCCACTGTGAGCTTATCATAATGCTGCCTCACATAAAAAGTTGGTAATTAGTCCCTGAGTGAATAAAGTAGAATGGATGATAAGAGATTGATACTTAGAGGAGAAGCTCAAAATGATTTTGCCAGTCATCAAAATTTAAAGGCGCTGGAGAAAGGGTTGGATGCCTCTGTCTGTTTACATACTGTTTCCAACTCAGAATCTGTAATGATAGGGTTCATTAACTTGCGTTTCTAAATTGTATTAAGATGAAGTTTACATAAACGTCAAAGAAAAACGTAGTGTGCCGAACGCGGGAGACTTTGGGATGAAGCACCACAGAAGAGCTGGGGGGAAATCGTTCATTCGCGAATTTCCTGTGTTATGGACTCCTGGTAGGGATGAGCTAAGACTCCCAAGCGTGCCAGCACCCATTCATCAGAGGAGGGCTTGGTTGGTAGGGGAGCACCCCAGAGGAAATGGTGAAGGTTTTAAATGTATTTTATGTTTAGTTTTTCAGGAAAGGGCATTGAGTAGCATCAAAAGGAATTCTATGAGCATTGTGGGAGCACATTTAAATTTCTGGACTCTTCCTAAAAAGTACATACAAGTGAGCTACGTGAAAGAGAAAATTCCAAGTCTTCCGAGAGGTGGTGGCATCTGTGTTTTGGAACTTCTCCATTGGCTTTTTTATTAATTCACAATTTTTTTTTTTGGTTTTGATTTTTGTTTTTGTTTTTGTTTTTGCGGTACGCGGGCCTCTCACTGTTGTGGCCTCTCCCGTTGCGGAGCACAGGCGCCGGATGCGCAGGCTCAGCGGCCACGGCTCACGGGCCCAACCGCTCCGCGGCATGTGGGATCTTCCCGGACCGGGGCACGAACCCGTGTCCCCTGCATCAGCACGTGGACTCTCAACCACTGCGCCACCAGGGAAGCCCTTAATTCACAATTTTTAAAGGTTATATTCCATTTATAGTTATTATAAGATATTGGCTATATTCCTTCTGTTGTACGATGTATCCTTGTAGCTTATTTATTTTGTACGTAGGAGTTTGTACCTCTGAATTCCCAGCCCCGATCCTGCCCCTCCCCCTTCCCTCTCCCCACTAGTAAACCACTAGTTTGTTCTCTGTATCTGTGAGTCTGTTTCTTTTTTGTTATATTAATATTCACTAGTTTGTTGTAGTTTTTAGATTCCACATATAAGTGATATCATTACAGTATTTGTCTTTCTCTGACTGACATGTTTCACTTAGCGTAATACCCTTCACGTCCATCCACGTTGTTGCAAATAGCAGAATTTTATTCTTTTTTATGGCTGAGTAATATTCCATTGTATATATGTACCACATTTTCTTTATCCATTCATCTATTGATGGGCGCTTAGGTTGCCTCCATATTTTGGCCATTGTAAATAATGTGCTATGAACATTGAGGTGTATGTATCTTTTCAAATTATTGTTTCCATTTTTTTCAGATATATACCCAGGAGTGGAATTTCTGGGTCATGCAATATAGTTCTAGTTTTAGTTTTTTGAGAAATCTCCATCCTGTTTTCCACAGCAATGGCCACACCAATTTACGTTCCCCATAGTGGAAAAACCAAGGTCTGCCTGTCAGACCGAAAATGAAAGACACTCAGGAACCCAGGGGCTCACAAAAGAATTCACCACAGGATTCTTTGAACAGAACACACTATTACATTTAAAATATTTCAGGGAGAGGTCTATTGTATAAATCACTTTTTGAAAGCTGCTCTCAAATTAGAAAAAGAGAGGAGATAGACTTATAAGATACGTAACAGCTGTAAGATACATAACAGCTAATGTAATAGGTCATTTTATAACCAATCAACCTTGGACAAATACACCACTAATATAAAGCAAACATTAATTGGAGAAATCCCTGGGGAAGCCTTGACTAAAACATATAATATATAACATGTCACCCGAAGATGCTGGCAGTGTACATAGGGAAATGGACGATTAATAAAGGAGGGCAAGATGCAGTGAGAGAGACAGGAGCTGAAAGAGATAAGCCAGAGCAATGATCCAGGAACTTCTTGGTCGGTGAATGAGAGTAATTCAATCAAAATCTTTTTCTTTCTTTCCTTCCTTTTTCTGGGGGCCCGTGCCGCGTGGCTCGTGGGATCTTAGCCCCCGACCAGGGATTGAACCCACGCCCCCTACCGTGGAAGGGCGGAGTCTTAACCACTGCACCACCAGGGAAATCCCTCTTTCTTTCTTTTTTTGACCTTGTAGCTTACATATCAGAATCATTGCCACTAAATTACAAATTGCCTTTACAGACATGGAAAACAAAATAGACATTCAGTTAGTAAGTGCCTTTGGGGCAGCTAGCAGCATAACTTTTTTTGTGTTCAATGGTAAACACATTAAAAACACAGTCTTTTCTTTCAGAAGGAAAATTGCATGTATTTTTAAACTTTGGGGAGAAAGGTGGCGGTTTGGACCAGTATTCACAGAAATTATCCAGCACATGCTGATCTGAAGATTTTAATGATTATATGTACTAATAGTAAGTGAATGAACCAGAACTTACGATCCATCCTTTGTTTTATGTTTGTTAGCAGTTGTCTGTTTTTTGTTTTTGTTTTTCTTAACAGAATCCCATAATTTATCACAGAAGGTTGAACCTCATTCTCAAAAAATACATTTATCAAAAAAAGAAGGTCTCAAAAACAACTTTCTGAAAAGACTATTATTCGTTTATCTTGCATTTCATTCCGTGCAAATTCCTCCCCTATAAACTTCTGTGACTATTGCTAGCTTTTCTTGCTGTGAGAATATCTTTCATTGTAGCATAAAATAGTGTGCTCCGTTTCGATTGTTTTCCTACAACTGTGTTAAAATCACTGTAACACTGGAAGTTGCTTGTTTGGGGATTTTTTTTTTTTTTCAACTTCTTAATGGTAAATAAAAGAGAAAACTAAATTTTTCCTTACGTTTCTTGTTTAAGTTTAAATGTTTTCTTTAGGTTGAGTGGAGGGTAAAGGGAAACAACGCTAAGAAGTTGGTCAGAATTCAGATGAACTGTTTTTGCATTACCCGGTCTCTGCTGGGAAGCTTTAGGAAGGACTGATGTCTGTAAGCAGAGGGTGAGCGTCTGAAAGTATAAGAGCATGGCATTTTTCCGTCATCTGGCCAGGTATAGCGTAGTCAAGGTACTTCCAGTTTACATTTTGTAATTTTGAACCAAATATAACTAATATTTCTAAGTATTTGAAATAACTTAAAATAACTTTTAAGACATTTTAGATGAGATAGATGGAAACTGCTTTATTAACTGTCAAGTACCACCTGGGTACACCGTCCAGTGGGTTACAATTTAAATGTCAGTTTCAATGCCACAGGAAGGCATGAGCTCGTAGCGTAGCATTTGTCTGTTTGTACATCTCATTGATAAATAATCAGATATTTCTGATTCTCCCGTCGTACTTTGACATAGATGTGATCCCAAATGCTCACACTATGTCGGTACTAATTCCCCACTGTTTTTAATTTGGGCCAGAGATTTGGGGACGGAAAGGGGGAAGCATGTTTCATGCAAAGTTACGGCTCAAAATGTAAACACTGAAATCATCCTGGACACATTTCAACAGCAGATGTAAGGCAGCCTATTGTAACAGCATTTAGAGATACCAAAGTGGACCCGCACATACACACAGGCTAAGGTTAACAACACAGAGAGCCGAAAATATTGGATAAGAGTTATTTTGGGAACTCTTAACTGAGTTTAGCACACTTAACCTTTTAGTCATAGTATTATGTGGTTTTCTATAGAATCGTTCTTATTTATTTTTCTCCAGTTAGAAAATAAAGCGGGGGGAGGGGTGGATGCATCTGTGTACCTTCTTACCTTCTTAGCATGGATGTCTGTAAACACACACACACATCCATGCCTTTCTTCCAGAGGCTTCTATATACACGTTGTGTAAAAGTTGTACAGTTAACATAAATGAACTCCACAAGAGAAATTCCACCACCACCGTTTTCCCTTGCTCACTGTCTGTGTGTGTGTGGGTGTCGGTCTGTCTTTTGACTCTGTTTCCCCCTATCCAGCATTTATGAGGACCTATAAGGCAGAGCATCTCCAGGAGTTAGGCTGGGTGGATTGCCTGCGTCCGTCTCCTCTGTGTGAGCGACTCATTCCAGAAGGAAAAAAAAAAGTGAAGTATCAGACTTTAGAAACCACATTCAGGTTAGAGGGTGCCGGCCATCCTGGCTTGAATTCTGCCTAAAGGACAAGGCTTTCATTTGATAAAGATCATTAGTCAGCGAGACATATATTTTAGAGAGTTCCCAGCAGCGACTGTTCCTCTGGCAGTCACTGGAGTGTACAGATGGTTCATTAGCATAGGCTAGACAAGTCAAAGGCTTTCAGAATCATTTAGAAAATGTCAAACAGAAACAAGAACCCTGTCACTTTTTATTAGAATTAACTACATCATACCCTGGACACAGATTTCACCTTGGGTCAGAAAAATTAATACAGAATTCTATGAATTGTGTCATATACTGGGTTAAGATAGGTCTTCCTAGAGGGACTCATTTGCTGGCAATATATTATGATCTCTCTGCTTCAGGAATCCTTAAACCTTTCCTTTTGTGAGATATGAAAAGAATTGACCTTGCTCAGAATCCATTGGTGTCTAATTGATTTGGAGGTGTAGGCAGAATTTCAACAAGACATTCTTCTAAAGCTCTTTTGTGATCGTTTTCCCGGGAAGCTTGGTGAGTGGGGCTGACTGAATATCGAGCATTGTAGCAAGTCTGCTTTATGTCGGGAGGAAAATACCTCCTTTAACTGAACACGCTGCTGGGGTAAACAGGAATTAAAACATCATTGAATTATTGTGGGTTTTTTTTTTTTTTTTTTTTTTAAATCCAGATGTCAAAAACCTGGAGAACTTCCAGCTGGTCGAAGGTGTCCAGGAGCAAGTTAACGCTGCCCTGCTGGACTATACGATGTGCAACTACCCGCAGCAAACAGAGAAATTCGGGCAGCTGCTACTCCGACTACCTGAGATCCGGGCCATGAGCGTGCAGGCCGAGGAATACCTCTACTACAAGCACCTGAACGGGGACGTCCCCTACAACAACCTGCTGATTGAAATGTTGCATGCAAAACGGGCTTAGTTACAGCCCCTAGGAGCGCGGCTTCCAAAACACAAAGAGATTGGTGGGGGGAAAGAAGAACAGGAAGAAAGGGAAAAAAATAAAATAAAATACTCTGAATGGCTCCAAGCAACACGAATGAAACACTTGGTTTAAAGATATTGAATTTAATAAAGCATAATAAATACTTCATAGCCAATAAGTGATGAATCAGGGTATTTGTATTGCAGACTGTGAATCAAAGGCGTCACATCCCCAAAGAATTCCGCATAAAAGACGTTGGAACGGAGTGAATTGAACTCACGGGTGGATCCCAACACCACATCAGGATGAAAATGGACAGAACAGTTCTTGTATAGTGAAACTGATCTCCGCTGTGAAGGAATCTAGGAACCGATCTGTGTTAGCCATTAGGCTTTTGCAGCGGGGGATTTGAGCTTCCAGAATTCCTCCATGGTAAAGCGGAACTGAAACCGTTCTCAAGAGTTCGTCAGCTGCACCGATCGTAGCCCCTTCCCTCTTCCTTTCCAGGACGCAGCACCTTCTGTCCCGTGATCGAGGAATCTGTACTAAGGACTAGCGCTCAGCCACACCCACTAGTAGCTCCACCAAATGATGAAACGCCTAATCTTCAATGTCTGTGTCTTAGACCTGCAAACAGCTAATAAGAACAGTCTATGAATATGTTAGCTTGCCATTTTGACTATGTTCTGGTTTGTTTTGTCATGTGTTCATGTTAAAAAAAAAGAAAAAAAGCAGGCAGTATCCCTCTTCTGATCTTACCTAAAGCATTAATTAATATTAAGGGCAACGAGTACACACCTCGAAAGCCTTAGCTCTCGCATTGTAGGATTTCATAAAAATTTCCAGCAGAAAGGCTTGTTAGACTACATCAGCCTTTTTAACCATCCAGGTTTGTAGCTCATTAAAAAATACACCATGAAATGTATTTTGCTGGGATGTCAAGTAGTCACAGTTCTAACTAGTTTAAAACAAAACGGAAGCATGTTAAGCCACGCGAAGTAAAGGAAGGGATGCGCAGATAAATTGACTCGTTGCAATCGATCATCCCCTAAACGCAGAGAGGAAACGGTGATCTTTACGTATGGCCTGGAAAGATAGTAAAGTGATTCAGATCTTCCCCAAAAGGGAAGGGAAGAGAGTGATACTGACCTTTCTAAGTCTAAAAGTCTGCTGTTGAACAAATTGGAGGACAGAGAATTGCGAAACAAACTCTCCAAACGATGCTGTCAGTATTATTCACAGGCGATGCCACAGATACGGAAGTCTTGCCTTACTTCACAATTCTCAAAGGTAGCTGTGCAGATGTGGATCAACATTTGTTTAAAATAAAGTATTAATACTTTAAAGTCAAATAAAATAGAGTGTTTACATTCTTTAGGTCCTCTAGGGGGAGGGGGGAACGTGTGATAATGACAAAAGAGCTAAAGCAGTAATTACCTTAATGTTATTTTTCTGATTGGTAATTATTTTTAACAGTACTTAGTTATTATATGTCGTGAGACACTAAAATCAAAAACGGGAATCTCATTTCGACTTTAATTTTTTTTTGAGATTATCGGCGGCACAATCACTTGTAGAAACTGTAAAAAAAAAATGAAAGTTATCTCCTAGTCCCTTAATTTTTTCATAAATGTTTCTGGCTTTTGAATAGTTTATTTATATTGTATATCATAGTTTCAACTGTAGACAATTATGATGCTAATTTATTGTTCCTTGGTTTCGCCTTTGTCTGAGATAGCCAAGACTGAAGAAACCAAATATATGTGTTCATTGTAGCATGTCAAGTGAGCGGAACATAGTTCAGAGACAGAGAGGGGTCTTGATGAATTAAAATCATTCACTTGATTAAATGTCTGTAAATCTTCATAATTCTTACTGTAGTTTATTTAATATCTATTGTAAATTATGTGACTTGTAACCTCCTCTGTTTTCAAGTAAATTTAACAAGGGTGGAGTCTTACCTGGTTTTTCTTTCCAAGCGTTGTAAGTTGTATACCAAAGATATTAGTTATCACTTCCGTGTGTACAAAGAGGATTATTTTATTATTTTTATTAATCACCTCTAATACGCGTCCATGCGAAGGGTACCCATCAGCTAAGCCGGGCGTCCACAGCCCCGCGTGCAAAGCTCGGTCACCCGTGTCATCTCCGTGGCTCAGAGGACAATGGGAAAATAGAGTCCATACCCAAAGCAGTGAATAACACAGCGGCATCTTTGCTCTCCCCAGTTAAAAACCAGGTTGGAGGGGAAGAGTGTCAACAGTTAATGAAATGGTTCCATCAATGGGTACGGGACATGGGTGGAAGCAATTTTGAGATTTGGGGGATGGTTATCCGGAGGGTCCTTAACATTGCAAAAAAAATTGTAAAAAACAAATACATTGATGCCAAAAGTCCAGGTTTTAGAATGCCAGCCGCTTGGCGTCCGTGGCCCATGCGAAGCGCGCGAGCGGATTTTCTCTAGTGTTCGTCGTTAAGTGGCTTACAACCAGACATTGGCTTAGCAACTGCTTCATCAACTACAGGATGTATTAGTTAAAGCAGACTCAAATATGAAGGTTTGGGCTTGGCCTGTTGATTATCGTTAGTCTATGTTTATAAACAGAAAGTCTGTCATGTCTGAATATTTGTCTTAGAGATCTTCTGCTGCTCCCTTGGATCTGAACCCATGCAATGTTTAGAGTGTGAAGTTGGTTCCTTGTTGACAATACTTACTGTATCAGTGAAATCAAATTGTCCTGTTGGTTCTTGCCAGGAATTTCTCAACAAAATGGAATTTTTTTTCAGTATTTCAATAAATGTTGATATGCCCAGCCTGATCATTTTTAGAAGTTTTTATGGTGTCCTCATTCTGTTGGGTTCTAAAGCTTCTACGTAACTGAGATCCTCGACTAGGAATGGAATTCCAAACGAAGAGATACTTTTCCTTCCCTAGATGCTTTCTCAGGTGGTCCACTGTCCTTAGTTGGATACTTGAAGCACTGAACTCAATCTGTGCATCACCTCTCCACACATGAAACAAAGCAATTTGTATCATTAACTGTTACAACTGTTGGCAGAAATCTCTTACGATATCTGTCTTTGTAGAGCTCACTGTGCCCTAGTCACGTGGCCAGGTGTTTCGTTAACTCACTTAATCCTCAGATCAGCTCCACGAGGTATCATCCAGCTCTTACAGCTTCTTGTTCAAAGTGATACACTAGTCAGTGGGAAGTGTGACTCTAAGACCCACGGCCTTAAACGTGACAATATGCTGTCGCGAAACGAGGGGTTTGCTTCAAAAGGAAAGGAAAATCAGGCATCAGGTACTAAGTTATTGATATTTGATATCAGTGTTATCAATGATATTATTGATAAAAGCCTTTAAATTTTTTTGGAGTTTAACCCTAAAATTTAACATCTTTTTGTTCTAGACATCAGCCTTCTCTATTTATTTATTTAGCTATTTATTTATTTATGGCCACACGTTATGTGAGATCTTAATTCCCCGACCAGGGATCAAACCCGTGCCCCCTGCATTGGAAGCGTAGAGTCTTAACCACTGGACCGCCGGGAAAGTCCCTAGCCTCCTTCAATACCATTGAGCCTTTGGAGCTGTTTGAAGCAAGAAAATACCTCCACAATCCATTCTGGAATTTAACAATTATCTCTATTACAAAATAGTGCAAGGGCCACAAAACACTTAAGGCTTATGATATATGGTGGTCCACCCCTCCCCCTTACACACCCTGCTTTCCCCTCCCTCCCCCTGCCAAGACCAGCAGTAGGTGTCATGCCTTTGCCAGGCAGACACTGATTCTTCTTACGGTCCCAACAAAGGATACCGAGGAATCAGATCCAAAACGCCATACCTAGAGTCTAGTAGATTGCAGAGTTAAGATTTTTAATCAACTAAATAGTGGCCCACAAAACACGTCTCCCTTGTCAACCTCTTACTAGGAAGAACTTTAAAAAAAAATTCTTGCTGACATATGAAAAAATATGTATGTATTCATACTTATGAAAAAATGGCATATGAAAAAATGGCATGTGAAAAAATATGTATATATTCATACTTAGTTGGAAACTAACTTCACATATAGAAACGTGTACAGTTTGATAAACTTTTACATAAGTATACACCCAGGTAATCATCACACAGGTCAAGGAAGACATAGAACATAATTTTTTTTAATGTTTTTATAAGTGGTTATATACTTTTGTTAAAAAATTGGTGGAGGGGGAGTCTTTCTGAAGCCCAGCCCGACAGCCAGCAGAGGTGATTCTGAAGAGCAGACACCTCACTCACATAACTTGGAATTTCTAACTCTCACAAAGTTGTTGAATCCATCAGCATGAAGCAGCCCCTGAGGGGGGGGAAGAAAAAAAAAAAAAAAAGGTTCTCGCTGATGTGCATTTGATTGTTATATTCGATATTCACAAAAACTTTGAAGAGGTTTGTACCTTTAACTAAGTTTGACGTTCGGTTTGAAGCCATCTCTGATGTATATTTTTATGAGAACCATGTGGAGAGTTTGTTCTCCATAACACAGGTCAAAATGCTACGACACTCAGTGATCTTGACATTTCCCTGGAATAATAAAGACCAATTTTCCTTAAGGCTGAACAGGAAGTGTATGGTTTAGTCACTCAAAATAAATATTCCTGCAGTACTTTAACTGTTTCACATAGGCATTTGTTTTATGTTAAGTGAGGAATTAATAATTCAGTGACTGAGATCAGGCTGTGATGGTGGTTTTGTTTGTAGAAAAGCTTAGAACCGGTCTGTGAAACGTCGCATATTTAATTGTTGCTAGGAAAGAGGGGAAGAGGCAGAAGGGGTGTAATTAGACTAATCGCTGAGTATCCCTGATGTGAGTTTGATACTAAACGGTCGAGAAGCCGGTAGACTGGTGATTGCTGGGCCCTTCGCGCTCCCCTCCTGAGCTGAGGCCAGAATGGGGCGGACCCCGGGTGCCCCAAGAGGTCTTGTGGACCCCAGCCCAGCCTCCCTGGGACACTGGGCTGAGACTGTCCCCAGGCCCACGTCTCTGAGACAAAGCCAAGGGGAGACAGGAGGCATCCTTCCAAGGGTGACTTTTTGAAAAATTCTATTCATTCATTCAAAACTGCTTCTCCAGCATCTGCCATAGAGTAGAGGCAACTTGTGGTGGTGGAGGTGCTGGTTCCCCACATACACCTCCTCTGTGGGCCACAATGCCCTGAGGTCAGATGAGGTGACCCAGGAAGGTTGCTTTCCCAGCCCTTCCTCAGAGCGCGCCCTGCCAGCTGACAACAGAGAGCAAATGAAAGAGGTTGCACTGGGGGCTTCCCTGGTGGCGCAGTGGTTAAGAATCCGCCTGCCAATGCAGAGGACACGGGTTAGAGCCCTGGTCCGGGAAGATCCCACATGCAGCGGAGCAACGAAGCCCATGCACCACAACTACTGAGCCCACGTGCCACAGCTACTGAAGCCCGCGTGCCTAGAGCCCCTGCTCTGCAACAAGAGAAGCCACCGCAATGAGAAGCCCGTGCACTGCAACGAAGAGTAGCCCCCACTCGCTACAACTAGAGAAAGCCCGCGCGCAGCAACGAAGACCCAACGCAGCCAAAAATAAATAAATAAATTTATTAAAAAAAAAGAGAGAAAAGGAAAGAGGTTGCACTGGAGAAACCCACGCCATCCACAGCAACGTCTTAACTGAAAGAAAAACAGTTTGCTTACTAATCCAGTATTTCTCACCTGAAAAATACTGAGCGTCTACTACGTTCCAGGAAATGATCTCATTGAGGAAATGCATCCAAAGAACACATATTAGAAATGATTCAAGAAAATAACAGCATCTCTCTTTAAGCATTTATTATGTGCTAGGCATTGTGAGCTACATACTGTGACAGACTTGGTAGTTGTCTCCCCAAAATCCATCCTTCCTGGTTTCCTGGACACATGGCTCCCCAGTGAAAGACTACATTTCCCAGCTTTCTTTGCAGCTGGTGTGATCATGTGCCAAAGATGCGCCAATGGTGGTGGAACGTGGGCGGAAACGATCGTCCCACTTCTCACCCTTTTCCAGCGTCAGAGACTTGCCACTTTCCTTGGACTTTGGCTCTTACCTCCTTCCCTGCCTGGACCCAAGGTGTGGACTCAGGTGAGAGAGAAATTAACTGCTCTTATTTAGGCCACTGTATTTTGGAGTCTCTTTGTTTCAAAAGCTCAGCGTTTCCCGTAATATACAAAAATGATATTATTGAATCCTCGAGCCAACCCCATCTTACGACAAGGAGACTGACATTTACCGAAGTTAAGTAACTTGCCCGGGTCTTATAGTCAGTAAGTAGTAGGGCAGGGTTCACATGATTCTGTTTGATTCTAAACCCCGTGCTTTGAACCCCCTGCAGGCACAGACCGGGCATCCTGCAGGACCTGTGTTCATTGCTGAGCCTTTTCTTCAGGACTCAAAAGAAGCAACGGTGACAGACAGTTTTTTAAATAGTGGCACCCAAAACACAAAAACATTCTTTGTCCCAACAAGCGTGGGAGTGATCGGTTATAACCACTGGCGTCTAAAACAGGTGTCGATTGCCCGGGACCTCGGCGACATCCACAACATACAAATTCTTTGAGTCTTACATACACAAGAATCGGGGGCTGTAAACCTTTATTTGTACACCTTCTCGACAGGAAGTATCACCATCATCACCACCCAAATGTTGGTCCTGACCGTGTTGTACCTTTAAGAGCTCCCCTAATTTTCTCATACTTTAGTCCGACTAGTAGTTTCCCTATTTATTTAATCACAAAGTCATTCAAGAAACATCGTATCTGCATTCACTCTTCATAACATCCTATCTACGAATCCAAGGCAATAATGTTTACGAAGAAAAGACATTTTGTGCCTGTCATTTCGGCTCACCTACCTTTGCCATCGACCCACTTACTAAAGTACTCACTACGTAAAAAAAAGAAAAGAAAAAGATCTTGTCCCAAGGATTTTCCCCAGAAATAAATTAGGACTGTCAAAAGCTCTCTGCCACTGAGGTGGAGCGGCTTCTATAAATAAGCGTGGAAACACGTGTCGCGCTGCCCCTGGTGTGGCCGTAGCAGTTTTTACTTCCCCTCTGTTCCTGCCGTGTGGCCTTGTGTTATTCCAGTGTCAAATGTTCCTACAACTATTGTGTGGCCTGGATTGCGGCCAAGTTCCCGGGGCGATGCCCAGCCGGTGCTCACCCAGCCTCCTACCTCCCTTAAAGGAGAAGAAAGTGTGCAAGTACCCAGGGGAGGCCTCACATCTCCTACACCCACCCACGCACTCACTCCCAGTGTCATTGATGAGAAAAGGACGAGGACGGAGAGCCATAATTGTGCCCTGCGCCATTCTGAGCCGCCATTTAATCAGATCATCTCCTTTGATTCTCACAACAAGCCTCGGAGGTGGGCATTATTTATCCCTGTCGCATCACAGATGAGGAAACCGCGGCTGAATCACTGCAGTTTCCTAAGGTTGCCCAGCCGCTGGGTGGCAAGGCCGGGACGCTAACCCACCTCCATGTCCCCACGGAGCCGTGTGTTTCACTCGGATCAGTACAGAAACTGCAAAACAACACAGGAAGAGGTGGATGCTACGCTCCGCAGCTGCTTTTCTTGTTTCATCATCATGCTGCCTGACTGTTTGGGACGAACCCTCCCTTTGCCCAGCTTCAGTTGAGATCTATATACATCTCAAGAAAAGGCAAGAACACACACCCCGATCGTGTGATAATCTCACATCTGTAAAAACCACCGTGGCGTAACAAAGCCCAAAAGTAACAGCGCGCCTCGCGGTGTCAG